ACAGGGCAAGGGTTTTTATGAATGCGTCCTCCGCCGTTCTCGGTCACACCCTCACGGATTTTACGGAGAAGGAAACGGGTCAGATATTTATGAACAGAGGGGAGCAGTGTGGGAGTCGCTCTTTGTGCTGGTTCCGGAACTAGATGTATGATGAGCACTTTTATTATACACAACATAATACGCAGAGGCTCCAAGCCACTAGGAGGGAATATCAAGGTAGTCGAGGAGGCGTCATGTAGAGTCGGAAGGATGATATGATGAAAGCAGCCAGCACAATATAACGTTAACCTCTGCATAGGTATGGCTACCTGCCTATACAGTAGGTGCTTGCTTTGCTACACATAAGGGCACTTCAATATGGCATCAGAGGCGTGGCACAGGTGGCGTGACATGCTCCTCTGTCAAAGCTTGAGTGGACTAACACAACCCACGGCAGATGCATGAAACCAGGTCGGGGAATCGTGAATGGATCCGATCTGTGGTGATGAGGCGTTTCATCACTTTGCTAAGTTAGCTCACAACCACGTCGTGCAGCACACGTGAGCCACGGCTTACACACGACACTGGCCCCTCTTTCTCTCCCTCACTGTCATGACGAACGGCGCATCTTCCGGAACCCTCGTCGAAGCCTTGAGAGCATCCACATGAGATGCCATGCAATGTCTTGAATTTCTCTGACGGACTGATCGGGCCTTTGCATCTGTCATCGTAGATCTACGCTAGACACACGGGCTAGTCCACTCCAGGTAAAACCCAGCACCTCTCCAGCTGGACTGCCACCCGGAGAGATTAGAGCAGAGGACCTCGAGGCGTGTGAGGGTTCTGTTTGGTCCACGCCCAAGCCCACTCGACTCCAGTTCAGCTGCTCTGATGAAACCATGAAACAACCAGTCGTTGAGCCATCAAACATTGGATCCATACAGCGAGTGAGGGTCACCCTAGATGGGGCCAGGAACACAGGGAGGAAAAAAGCCACACTTTTTTATTACTTTGCCGAAAGGTTCTTTTCATTTATACATAGAGATGAGCTCCGCATTCGATGCCATTTTAGTCTTGGACCTGGATCATTCCAGAGTCTAGACCATTCATCTGCTAACTCTTCCTCTTTGGTTAATCCAATCCCCCGCCAATTGAGCCAAAATACCTTACCCTAGACACTCGCCTCCCGTCCAAATGGAAGTGGAGGGGTGTTACGTTAGCGAACCAACGGACCAACCAACCATCCAGTTGCTAAACACAAGCTGGTGGTCTAACTCGACTGGCCTTCCCTGTTGTTGCCTTCCACTTGCCCCTCCTTCCTCAACCTTACCCTACCTACCTCCTGCTCTGTCTGTACATACATCGTCTTCTCGTATCTGACCTCCCCACGATTCTCCCGACATAAGCTTCTCGCGAGCTACTTGTTCTACCCAGCTCTCGGCTATGCCGCTGCCAAAGTATCGATCTATACTCTTGACTCTTCTCCGATAGAAAAGACATAACCCCCTCTCTGCCCTTATCCACCTTGGTCCCTTCCACGTCTCCGGCTGGTCCCTGTGTCCTGCCTTCGTCTTCCGTGCCTAGGTGACCGTGCCGCTCTGCGCACAGGTTCACGACACCGACAGTATAAGCCTCACGGGCATTTGCGCAAAACAGAGGCCCACCAAGATCGTATCCTACGATCCCGCCATCCCGCCCAATGGACCCGGCGGACATCTTTCGACAAGGCTTTGGCCATGTCGGTCCTCGCCCAAACAACGCCGCCTTCATGAGCCATCCACAGCATCCTATGGCGCATTTGCAGAGACAGCAACACCCACAGTTCAGAAAGCCCATGCCCATGGTCAAGAACGAGGACTCGTCATCGGGTGGCGACGGCCCTGGCGGCCAGCGCATTGCTCATACTCTGACAGCATGCTGTCGCTGTCGGCAGGTATGATACCACTTATCTCCCCGAACCGGTGTCGACAGAAGATGTTCATGCTGACATGTTTGTCCCATCGTAGAGGAAAACTCGATGCGATCCTAATCTACCGCGCTGCCTACCCTGCGAAAGGTCTGGATCGATTTGTGAATATCTCGATGCAGCCAAGGGTCGCAAGATCAACCGCCACTATGTCATCAAGCTGCAGGACACAGTGAGACAACTCGAGGCCGAGCTCAGCCAATATACCGACGAAGAGAACGAGTACCCCGGGAGCAATGAAGACATGGTGCGCCCAGGCGGGATGGTTCGCCTCAACGGCGGTGACGAGACCCCTCGATACCTAGGACCTAGCAGTGGCATCGCGATGACGCGCCTGCTTATGGAACAAGCCAAAGCATACACAGATTCCAAGCGCATCTCGGATCTGATCCCCAGCGTTCGTACCCAGCCGAATCGTATGCAGTCCATCCAGATGACCGGACCGTCCGCCAACAGTAGGAGGAAGAGCTACCCCATGATCAGCCAACACCCCGCGGAGAGCCTACCGACGAGGGCTATCATGGATAAGCTGCTCGAGGTTTTCAACCAAAAAGGTGAATATCGCGAGCGATGCTCATGTGTATTGCGAACGCTAATGCTTGATAGCTCAACTCTTCTGGCCTGCTTTGCACGAGAAGGACCTCCAGGACGACGTCGATGCGGTTTACAACGGCGATACCGACCCCTACCGGTTTTTCATCGTTCGCATGGTTGTCGCAATTAGCTTGCAGAAACCGGGAACTCTATATGCCGGTTTGGCCGACAGCTACTACTTGGCCGCAATGCAAAAATTTGAGGACGTCCTTCAGACAAAGGACCTCAAGACATTGCAATGCCTTGTTCTGCTCGGGCAATACTCGCTCCTCACCCCGACAAGAATTCCTATCTACTATGTCATTGGTCTTGCGACCAGGATATGCCAGCAGGAAGGCTTGGCAAGCGAAAAGACCATCAACACCCCCCCTTACAACTTGAATCCCAAGATGATCGACATGCGACGACGGTTAATATGGACAGTTGCTGCTATGGAGTACGGCCTGGCGCACAGCATGGGAAGACCCAATAGTTTTGCAACTGGGGACGACCGTCTGGACGTGGATTTCTTTGCGACTGTCGACGACGAGTACATCACCGATCAGGGGATCCAACCTGGCCCACCCAGCGAACGCAAGCTGGTGGCTATTCACTTCTACAAGATGAGAATGTGCCAGGCGGAAATCCGAAGGGCGTTGTACGAGAAGAAGAAGGATGACCCTAAGAATGATCAGCACCCCTGGTTTGGGAGAGTTGAGCGGATGAATCAGGATTGGCTCGATAATTCGCCGACGAGCCCAAGCTGGTGCAAGTCATGGCATGTACCGGTCCAAGATATTGATTGGAAGTGGATGATTAACATGTTTAATAGGTTTACTGGCCGCTATCACCAGATGCGCATCTTCATGTACAGACCGTCTCCCCAGATTCCAAAACCCTCACCTCGCGCCGCCAAGATTTGCTTCGAAAGCTCAGCCATTATGATCAAGTTGAATGCCAAGCAGATGGAGGGTGGAGGAGATATCAGCTGGGTGTTCCTCCTGACTGTCAACATGTCTCTCAACACGCTACTTTGGACTGTGTCATACCCAGAGGTTCGACAGGCGCACCCTCGAAAGGAGGTGGAAGAGCTCGTCGACATCTCGATGGAAGTCTTGCAAGGCTGCGCAGAGAGATGGCCCGGAACCGCATCTGCTTCCCAGCTCTACTCTATCTTCTCCAAAGCCTGTCTACAGAGCTACGACGCACGCCCTACGACAGGACAGCCCGGTGGTTTCTTCACGACACCCCCATCATTTGCTGATCCCAGCTCGCCCCCTGATGCCTTCTCCCAACCCAACCCTCAGCAGGCTCCCTTCCTCAACCCGCCCCAGTTCAGCCATGTCTTCAATTCTCCGCCGGAGGCGATGAATTCGTTCGCATTCGACCCCAACTTCCCGCCGCCTCAGCCAACCTTCCGATCCAACTCGATCTTCTTCAACCCTGCCAGTGGTGAACCAACAGGCCGGAGATTCTCGTACTTCCCTCCCGATTATATGCAGACCGGCGAGGCAGCTCCGGATGATCCAACACCGCCGGCTACTACCACCCCTGAGCAGCATATGGCATCACCTCCGGACCATGTATCGGATCAACTTCCCACGCCCCCTGATTCTGTTCCGACCGGCAACATGACGACCCCGACACCCAGCACGGTGCTATCGCCCCCAAACACCATGACTGCGCAACCCACTCCCATCATGCAACACGCATCTCCAATGGTGGTTCCGCTAGGACCTGTACAGAACATGTCTCCCCAAGTCAAGATCGAGCCTTCTCAGGGTGGACCGACCTTCACAGTCCCGCCAGTGACACAGACACAAGCTGCCCCTCAACAGCGGCCCCTGCCGACACTGAGTGATCCCAACGGGTGGTTCTCGCCGCCAGCCCCTCTTATCTCACCGTATACTTTTGCCAACATGAGCAATAGCTTTATAAACAACGGAATGGGCAACACAGGCAACTACGGTGACATGTCGGGGGCCGGTCTTGGACTGCAAAATTTCGGGGCCAACAATGTTGCGCCTCCTCAGTTTGACTACGGCTTTGGTCGCCAAGGCAGCCTTACACAGTCACAGCAGATGGAGCTAATGAACGTGCTTGAGACGGAGGGTATGGGTGATATCGACGCGTTCCTCAACGGGGGCGACATACCAAACAACAACAGATGGTACTGAGGGGAGTGCGACTTGAAGACGAGACGAATTCACGCAGCGGGCTGAACTGGCACAGGCGGGCAATGGTTGGTACAAGGCATTTGCATACATGGCTGGCGTTTTGTGGGCGTTTTTATAGCATTAGAACCGTGGTTTTATGGATATCTCAATGATAGAACTACTTACTCATGCTCCAAGTATTCTCTGTAGCCTATCACTTCGTTACAAACCCAAGTAATCGGTAAAGCAAGTCACGACAGGGGAATCGTCAAAGAGAGTTGCCCTTGTCATACAAGAGATGCGTAGACACCAACACCAAGATATGTTGGGCGCTCAAGCGCTTTAGATTCAAATTGCTTTAGATGCAGCAAGTAGCAAGACAGAGATGAGTAGAAAAGCAAGAGAAGTCCATCATCACGGCTCCGCAGCATCCCCGGCGGCGTCTTCGAGACGCAGCTTCTCGACAGACTCGCCCAGTGCTCCCGCCTTGCTGGGCTTCTTGGTGCGCTTCTTGCGCCGGGTGGTGCCCGTAACAACCGGGGCTTCGCACAGCCACCGGGAGACGGCGAGGGCCCGTAGAGTCAGGATGGGGTAGTCTTTGCCGTCCTCAACGGACCACCGTCGGAGACTTGGGTGGGTTGCTAGACCGGCACCGTAGACAGGGGCAGGGGGGATGTTGGTGGCAATGGGGAGGCGATCCTGCTCGGCACGCCTCTCCTTCTCGATCTGGTCGTCATCAAAGGCATCAAGAAAAGCCTGGTCCTGACGGCGTTGCTCGTCGGAGATCTTGGCTTTGGGCTTGGTGAGGGGGGTATCGTAGTAGAAGGGTAGGGGAGGGGGCGCGCAGAGGGTCTCCCAGGAGGCGCTCAGCTGGAGCTGGCTCTCGTTGCGGCGGAGAACCTCCATCCAGTCGGACCGGGCCTGGGAGCGGCTGGCCTGGAAGATGGGAAAGCCGTCAGCCTGGCGGACAAGTCGGGCCACCATGTATATGTGGCGGAGGAGCTCCTTGGGCGAAGTCTGGACGAGAATGTGGCAGAGGAGAAGCGAGTGCAGCGCCTCAGTGAGAAGGGGATGGTAGGTGGTCCATTCACACGTCGGCGGCAGTTCCGATGCCTGCCCAGGTTTGGCAATTTCTTCGGAAGGGTAAGGGGGGAGGTCTGGAGGAGGTACGGCGGCAAAGAGGTCGGCGATGGAGTAGATGGTGTAGGGCTCCAGAGAGTAGGTAGCCTCGGAGGGTCTCGGGTTTCGGACGCCATGGGCCGCAAGGTTAACGCGGTCGTTGAAGTCCTTGGCGATGACTGTAGGAAGATTCGGTGCATATTCCAGATTCGAGATGAAGGACATGAAGTCTCGGAGCGCCCGCTTCGCATACGTCTTGACAAGCTTTCGAGACTCGGCCTGTTTGCGGGCTGAATCTGCGTCAGCAGCATCAGCATCAGGCTCTGCATCAGCTTCGGGTGAAGTTTGCGCGTTGGCTTCAGGAACTGGGTTTCCGTCCGAGTTCTCTGCATCGGCGTGTCCGTTGGCTTCCTGGGCTGGAGGTATGCCGCCTGCCACGTGCTGGTGAGCCACAGTCAGGTACGCCGTAGCTCGTAGAAAGAGTAATTGTCCTTCCAGGCTCGTCGGCTGGTCCTTGTCGGCCAGAACAACGTCTTGAGGCCGCCTTCGGCCCTGATTTGGCTCCAGAGTTTGCGACTGCTCAGGGTTCTGGTGCGGTGGCTGATGGAAGCGGCTTATTGACAAGGCGAGAGTCAGGTCCTGAGCAGCCCCCTCAAAATCGTCCTTGAAACACTTCACGATGGCGCGGGTGCGTAGGGCTTCCCCTTCGCTCGGCTTCTCCGATATCACCTCTGTCAAGGCCTCCAGGCCGGTGGACTCGGCTAGTTGGCGCGAGGGTATCTTTTCGTGAAAAAAGTGCACATATTTGGCATCAGGATCCTGTGGGTTGCGCTGCAGGACCAGTCCAGCGACTTCTTCTATCGGCGACGAGCCCTGCATGGTCGCGACGCTGCACGCGATCTCGTCCAGGCGATAGGCACGGCTGAGCTTCTGGCTCGCCTGCTCTCTCATCCGGAATTTCCGCTCACGGCTCAGTTTAGACCCATGGCCCCCTCCCATGCCAAGGGCCGACATGGAGGATGCGCCAGGCATGCCGCCGTTGACGTTTGTCATGATCGGCGAGGAGATGTCACTAGCAGCTCTCACGGCGAGGTTGGTGGCTTCGTCGACGAGCCGGCGGATCTTGGTCATGTCGAAGAGGACAGCAGGGTCGATGGGTCGGGGTCGCGGGGTGTTGTAGTTGATGTTGGTGATGGTCTCGAGTATCTCCATGGGCATTTGAAGCCATGGGCCGTGAAAGGCCGAAATGAATCGCCAATGCCTGCAAGTTGGAGCGTCAACATGGCGAACTCGAGGGAGATGGACAGCGGGGTAGCAGGAGAGCACAGGGCAAGAAGAGGACGTACTTGTTTCGACATATTATGAGAGTCTGAGAAGATGATGTCGATGATGTCGTCCTGGGTGACCTAGAGGTTCTGGACCCTCCTGCGGTCGTGGCGGGCTGTGGTTGTGTTTGCGAATCGTTCTCAGGCGTCGCATTCTGCCCCTCACCAGAAGGACCAGCATCAGCAGCTGGAGCCTGCTTGCTCTTTTTCTTTGCCATTTTTCAGGACCGCGAGGGTAGCATCTACGGCTACAAATATGATGAGATCATTCGTCTTGAAGTTGGTCGTGTTCAAATACCTTGAGCTGGAAAGGCGAGCGCACAAGGGCGATCAAGCAGCGTCGTTGATTGCTATGGTCAGCGTGGGGTAGGTAGGTAGTTAGTGTAGCGATAGAGAATTCCACAGGGTGGATAGCTTGGAGGAGTGAAGAAGGAAACAAGAAAAAACAAGGTGGATGAGAAAAAAAGATGATGAAAACTGTTTGTGTTTTTTTCACTGATGTTGTTTGTAGAGAGATGAGAAAATTGATAAAAAATGACCCGGCACTGGCTGTGATTCAGTGCTTGTCTTCTCAGAGTCATTTGGGCTCAAAGTGTGGTGGTTTGGATGCCATATGGATCACGTGCAGACCAATGTGCAATATTGATCGAGGCAGGTTTCACAAAGCGACAGATGATAGGTTGTCACCATCGGCAACCAAGAAATGCATCAATGGGCGCTTATTTTCATCCCTTTATTTCATCCCTTTGTGAAATATTGGCCAGCCCTTTGTTTTGCCTTGAGGCCTTGTTGAACCGGCCATTGTTAGAGCTCCGAGTCTCACTCAAGCTATTGGTGGTTGGATAGGTGTGTTGGAATTGTGATAGTGCTTGTTGAGCTGCTCCGTGCTAATTGAGCATTTCTAGCCCTTTTCTCTTTCGTACTGACACGTTTTATCGAAATGTTTAATCCATGTAGTTAGTTAGGTTTGTATGAACACGATACCTTTTATCTCAAAACGCCATACTCCTACGTCCTCATCTATGCTCCATGCCACCATTTAACCAGCCCAACTCGCAACCCAGACAAATAGGTGACAGCCATTCAAATACTAATCATCCCAGGAGTTTTAACGGACACATACAGCATCTACAAATCCTTTAGGTAGCCCTCGTTGGCCATCCCATGGATCGCATATGCGTCTCGCAGAGGTAAAGGTACCGAATCCTTGGAAGACTCAAGCAACGGGGCTGTCTTGGCTTCTGTTATGAACTGGCTGTGGAGAAAGTGCAGTAGAGCTTGAATATCGGCTTTTGTAGTCATGGCACCAAGGCTGGCGCGAACAATACTACACATGTTAGCTCTGATAGAGATAGGTCACCATTGGGCTTACCCAGTTGGCCTTCTGTTGATGATAGCCATCTCATTTGCACCGCAGGCGTGTCCGCTCGAGAACATCCTGTTCCACTCCCACTCTTCGTACTCGAGAGCCTTTGAAACACCACCGGGGCAACAGACACCTGGAAACTATAGTCAGCAGAGTATGTTGGGACAACAGACAGATCTCCATACCACCAGCTCGGATATACACCCCAGCATCATTGGCCAGCTTCTCAACATCCGTCCAAGGAACATAAGTCCCATCCTGCCTCATAATGTTGAAGGCGAACGTTGCCCCCTGTCGCGAAGGGTCTCCATATGCGCTAGGGTCGTCGACATAGATTTCAACAACGGGAGCACCGTTGGGATACCTGAGCGCCACGAGACTCTTGTAAAGGGAACGTGCTAGGTAGCAGCAATGACGAGAAATAGCATCCTATGAGTATGTTAGCGCATAAGTCCATATAACCCCGCCAGCAACATACCATAGAGCCATAGAGTCGAATATGGGTATCAATGGCCAGTCCAAGGGCCAAGATGCTGTGGAACGGAAGAGTCCCGTCCTCGAGACCGTCATGGATGTTCCACATGTCGTACTGGTCTCCCAAGCCGGGAACCTTCTTCGCAACGCGAGTGTCACCATTCAAAGGAAACAGTTGTGCCACCGTCCCTCCTCCGAAATATCTTCTCAGGTTGAGTACGTGTCCCGATGCCCGCCTGACCACCAGGGCACCGAGATCCGGAAATCCAAAGATCTTGTAGAACGAGAGGCAGGTAAAGTCGGGTGCATCGGAGGGGTCGCTGAATAGTGAACCGAGTGACGTCGTCATGGCGAGGGCTGCGGCGTCAAAGAGTGTGTACGTGTTTCGAAGCTGAGGGTTCTCTCGTATTCTCCTTAACCATCCCTTTGGTAACCGGCGGCCGCTGAGGTTCGACTGGCCGGGATATGCGAATAGACCCAGGCCTGTGGATTTGCTCTTTCGAACCTCAGGATTGGAAGGATATTCGAGCCATTTATCGACGCTCTCGTCATCTTCGAAGCAATGATAGTCCCCAGACGTAAGCTCTCGAACGCCGATTATACTGGTGTGAGCCTCCCTGTGATATCCATACCAGAAGCTCTTTGCCGGAGTCTTCTCTCCAAGATCTCGAAACCCGTCTGCCACCAGCTTGATACCAGCCGTGGCGTTTGCGACAAACACAAGATCAAAATGGTCAGGGTCAGCACCAAGGAAGTCGAGAGTCTTGGCACGAATATTATCCACCATCTCACCCGAGAGCTTCGCGGGTAGGTTTTCCGAATGTGGGTTGCCCCATAGGTTGCTGATCATTGCGTGAGAGAAGCTGCTTATGAGAGATCGAGAGTAGATGGTGGCGCCGCCATGATCAAGATAGGCCCCTGAAAGGGTGAGCAATCATGTAACATAGCTTGTAAGTCAGGGGTTTTGGTCGTGCACACCTTGGGCCATATTGGGATATTCGTCATCTCTGAATCTGTCAACTGACGAGTTATACTCCATGACTCCTGTTCCAACCGCCATCCTAAGAGGCTGAGAAGCCACCGTCTTTATCTCTGTCTGCAGGGAGAGACAGTCAGTATCAGCCATGGCCTCATATACAGCATGTAGCATAGTTTGGCGGTTTGTGCCAGGTTTGAGGAACTTGAGCCAATATAATGTAAGGGGTAGAAAGTCTTCAACAGGATATTGTGCAGAAGCCACAACCAGTTGGTTGGTTGGTTTGTGAATAGATCGGCAACCTACAAGAGTCGAAGAAGCCATGTGCAGGCGCAACGTGTGTAAAAGAGTTCAGACGCGTTGCGGCGATTGCTAAGCGCCGAGACAGTCTCGTAAACCAGCCCAATAACGATAAAGTTCGAACCCACGGAGGAGAGACAGTGCTGTAATTATCTCGATAGATGATTGCTAAAGGAGGGTTTCTCGGAAGGAAAAGATAGTCAACTGTCCAAATCGAGCGGCGAGCAGCTTAAGCGAAGATGGTTCAGCTCCCCAGACACGAGGCGTCAATCGATATATATATATATATACGTATGCCTCCTCTAGCACAAACACTGGCATCCTTGCTAGACACCACCGGAGGCTACTTCTTCAAAGGGAAAAGAGAGCATTGGGTATCCGTGCAACTCCACAAAACACCAAGAGGCAAGCCTCGAGTGCGGCATGGCTTTTTGCCAGAAATAGGCTTTAGATCGTCCTAGGGCACGGAGCTGAAGATGAGCTGCAGGAACCGGTCCCATTGATGACGAGGGGAAATCAACAATTCACAAGGCAGTGGAAAAAAGGTGCCAGCTGAGGGCAGAGTGGACGTGTCAGATGCCGTCTCCACAGGACGGGACCACAGGGCTGAGTTGTTGATCCCGCATTTCGCCGTTCATTGCGGGCCGCTATCCCATACCGGGACGATGATGTTTGTTATTCGGGGACTTGGAGGACCCTTTAAGCCTCGTTTCCTCCCCGACATCCGAAGCTTGTGAGCTGATGCTGTGGACTTTGATGGCCGCCAACTTGAAAAGAAGCCCCTAGTGTCCCTGCCTTGGATGTTGCTGCTGCATAGATGGAGGGGGCGAGAGATGATAACCCCGGACACTCATCGACGCCCGTCAGCTCTAGTGGAAAGCTGCATGCACTAGGGCCGGGCCTCGGCGTTCAAAGCCACCAATTCAAAACGTCTGTGTGAAGAAGGGGGGAAAACTGCCGAGTCCCGGGCTGAGCAAGTGGTCGATCCCAAAGGAAGAATGACGCTTGGCAGATGGCGAAGCAAAGCTTAGAAACTTGTAAAAAGGCCCATCGTCGATGGCTGGTGTTGGTAAAGGTCCTTGATGAAACGCCTGGAAAACCAGCCGAGGTGGGCCTGCAGATGTCGAGTCCGAAGCGCCCAACCGTTGTCAACGGCGCCGCCGACATGATAAGCGCCAACTTGTCTAGCGTCTATGCTTTTCAGATTGATTGATTGACCAAGGGAGATTTAGACGGAGAGTGCCAAGATTGACAGAAAACGGGGGATCCTGGATTGGCATGAGATACCTGCCTGTCTGTGTAGGTAAGTCATCGTGAGATTGTAAGCGGGAGGGAGACACATACCGGAGACGAGACACAAAAGTCAACTATCAGCCCATTGTTGCCACGCCTTGCGAGGGCGTCAAGAAACATTGATTCAGTGGAAACACTATGTTGTTCTCCAGATCGACATCTGCGACGCTGATACCCTTGTCCGTTTCGAGGTTGAAAAGTGGAAAGCCAGTCAATCTTAAACAGATGATGGACAACCTTGTCGATATCAAAGAGTCAAATAGATGGATGCTGGGATTGTAGGGCTGGTCACGTAAGCGGACCAATTTAAACTTTGTTTCAAAGACGTCGACTTCAACGTATTGTCATCAAGTTGAAGGATCCTTTTATTTTCTTTTGCTATCTATGTGAGTCCGGAACTCCTGCTCATTGTTGGCACCTTGACAATCTCAAAAAACAACCATGTTTGCTCCCCCTAGTGTAATAAATGAACCTAATATCAAACACACATCCCTCATAGTGCCAAGGCAAGAGCAATGACACCAGCCAGGGCCAAGTGGACAGGCAGGGCCAATGTTGAGGCTGCGTTCGGGGTGGTAGACGACCCGCCGGTCTCGCTGGAAGAGGGCTCAGGCGCCTGTGTGCCTGAACCTGAGGGTGTCTGGGGGCTGGAGCTGGGTGTCTCAGTAGCCGGGTTGACAGTCTCTGTCGGAGTTGGCAGGTAGTGGGGAGCAGAGTAAGACTCGTTGGTCGCGGGAGCCTCGATCTGAGAGACAAAGTTGGCGCACGTCAGGCGGGTCTTGTTGGCATAGTGCAGCACAAAAGAGCGGTTTCCAAAGAAGGCACCGATGCCCTCCTTTGTTGAGGCGTAGTAGTCGATGTACTCGGCTTCAAAGGGGTCGCTGGCGATCTTGCCGTGCTTGCCGCTCAGGTCACCGACCTCGCAAGATGCAGGGTCCTTGGCATCGCAGGGAGTCTCGGCGCCGCGCTCATAAGGATCGAGGTGAGCCAGCGTCTCGGTACAGTTGCCGTCCTCAGGGACGGGTGCAGCGTGGAGGTGATAGGCTGTTCACTGTTAGCAACGTTGCTGGGGTTGATGGGCATGTATGGACTCACTGAAGGGGCCACCCTCCTTGGGGAGGTTGCTGAACTTGACCTTGAACTTGACGCCATTTCCGCTGTCGGTTGCCACAGCGAGGATGGAGCCCTTGGCGTTGCCTTCGAGCTCTGCATCCTTGAAGAAGCGCTGCTTGGGGAGTGTGGCCTTGAAGGGCACTCCAGGAGGGTTGTCCATGACCTTTTCAGCATCCTGGCCGACGACCTGGCCGACGAGGGCCGTCAAGAGAAGGGCCAGAGTAGCGTGGGCTCGCATTCTGAACGAGGGTATGATGGCGGGTCGGAGATGAGAACGACGTATGCGTGCAGTGTAAGCGATAGGCTGTGTGCGACAGACAGGTACTGTAGGTAAGTTGTAGGAATAAAAAGTGAGCGAACGCGAGGGACCTCTTGGGTCAAATAGAGACGATGGGTCTAGCCCGGAGGTGAATCAATGAAAAATATGCAATGTCTGAATTGGAGGGGGGAGGAAGAAAGGGTGAGAGGGCAAACCGGCAGCTGGCAGCAGCGGCAAGTCGAGGCTATATAGTGCAGGGCGTCATCACTGCCGACAGCGGGCGGCTGGCGTTTGACTGACTGCCCGGGTTACGAGATGGGCTGGATGCTGCTAGGCAAGAAGAAGTAGACTAGCTGGGGAGACTGGCAGGGCTCTTCTAGCGGCATAAACGAGGGGATACCACTGCAACTAAAACCTGAGCCAAGAAGAGGCTCTGCCTCTGCCGCATCTTGACGAGCACCAAAGATCCCTCCCCCCACGAATAGATGCTCAGCTACAGACGCGGGGAAGAAGTCATCTCCTCTTCAAGGCAAGGGGCCAAGGGCGTCAGCTGTGCTGTAATGGATGCCATGCCAGTCCATGCCAGCACCCAACAAGCGACGAATCCCCCTTGTGCTGGCGTCTGGGCGCACCCATTGGCCGTGACGTGCCGGGGGGCACAAGCGGGAGCCCGTATTCATTGGCGACGTGGCTTGCTGTTTCAACACGGCGCGACATCTTTGTTCTGCTGGATTGATTGATTGAACGGCTGCGACGGCTGCCCCTTCTGCACAAAGGCACTCACAATTGTTTCCCATGGGGTCCGTGTTTGCTCCAATCCGAGTCTGGCCCTCTGGTCGTGGCAGTGCAGTCAGTCGCTGACAAGTTCCGCCAAGGCCATGGGAGGAGGAGGGTTGCTGGCGTGCGTAACCTCACACAGCGCCTAGGTAGCTGGCTGGTTGGTACCTGTGAGCTAGGCTCCGGATGCTATATTGGTCATTGGCCGTCGCACCCAGACAAGAAACAAGTGCGTAATGATAACATCACGAGTTCCCTTTTTTGAGAGACCCTGAATACCCTCAAAGTCCGTTGTTCAAGATTCAGCGATGTCGGCACGCGGGATGTCAGCTCCGAGGGCTTGAACAAGAAGGGATCACCGGTAAGACGGCGGTCTGCATTGAGATGAGCCCTTGATCGCAATTTAATAGCCTCATCTAAAGTGAAGGGAAACCTGCACAGTAGCGGGCGATCATGAATGGGTACTGCGTGGGATGTCTGCCCTGTCTTCCGGTCTGGCTCGGGAGGCGTTTCGTCTCGTTTCGTTTCGTATGAAGCCCTGCGAGGTTGTTTCCCGAAACCATTGGCCGCGTTGCCACGTCCGGCACCCTCAACGCCAAGGTCGCTTGCGGAACCAATGCCGTCTCGCATCGTCTTTGCCCTTTTCAAGACGGGACTACGGATAGCCCACCCTTTGGATCGGCATCAGCCTTCGATAGCTCGCATGTCCCACGCCTGAACGGCTTGGGGGCACTCTTTGTCCTAGGACAAAAGTAGCTGGCATCAAACCATCGCCCACGGCGCCATTCCTGCTTGTCGCGGCTCCTCGAGATGCTTCGGGGAATACGAGTTGCTAATCTGAATTGCCTTTGGGCCGTTGAAAGGATGGGATGTGTGCGTTTCCTGTTACGTATGCAGCAGGCCGAACTTCCGTCTTGAAGACAAGGCGTTCTCAAGCGTCATCGCTAGATCCTCTAGATCCTCAATTGAGGTTATTCGTATAAGTCTGGATCGACGAGAGTGGGTAAGTCGTTGCCAAGCGGTTTTATCTGATCCGAAGAGCCAGAGCATGGTGATAATAGCAACTGATCGTTTGCCTTGCTGTTATTAGTGAGCCAGAGCTTCAAGATGGTAGTGATGTGGCGCAGAGCCATTGTGGCACAGGCCCTTGTTCGGCGCCTCCTGTGGCGCATGTTCCAGCCTTACCACTGAGGCAGGAATTCAAGGAGCCAAACAGCGACACCTTGACGCAACACCAAGCAGGCAGCTCCAAGCAAGCTTCCAGCATCGACGCCGCCAACCGAATCCGCATCTCGTCGTTCGCAACGCAATTCCGTTCATTCAGCCATCTCCGAGCTTCCCCAAACCTTGCCCATCATGAAGCCCGTCGTCAGCGCGTTCAACGCCTGGTCTTGGTTCGCCAATCCTAGCTTCATCCCCCATCATGACGCGGCTAACATCGAGCTCCAACAGCACCGTCCTCTCAGTCTTTGCCATCGTTATCCTCAGCATCCTCGCCCTCCTATACCGAACCGGACACGAGGAGTTTACTGGCGGCGTGGGAGACCCCGATGATGGCAAGGCGGTTTCGGGAACCATCTTCACTGCTGTTCTCGTATACGTTGTACGTGCCCCTGTCGCGGATATCCTTCGAGGCTCATAAGAGCCACCGACTCTCCCACGACATCTAGAAGGAACCAAAAACTGACCTATGCAGGCATTCTTCATCTTCTGCGGCATCCAAGGCCTCATGCACGCCCGAGAAAGCCGAAGAGGCGCGATCGCTCTGTAACAACGACACAACTTCCAGCGAGTAGAGCACGACGCGGAACCTGGCGTTCTGGGAACTTGATCGATTTCAGTTTTGGGCTGGCAATTGTATTTGAAAGAGAAGCATAACCCTGCGTGTTTGGGACCGATGGCACGTCACATGGGGTGTTAATCAAGGGGCGTGGACTCGATGAAAGGTCCGCCATGTACGGAATATTCGATTGCTTAGACTGATTGCGCATTTTATTGTACTAAACTATGGACTTATCATTGCCTTTGAGGATCTATACTTGCTATTTGGACACCGGGTCGAGGATGATGTGTTCCAGAGACGAAACCGAGACGACTTCAGAGCAACAGCGCCTGTGCTATTTGATGCGCAGCACGCGTTCATCAGAAGCGACGTGCCGTTCCAGGGCAAAGAGCCACTGCTCGCTTGCGCATCGGGCCTATTGTTTTCGCGGCCGGACTTGCATCCGAATCCGTGGCTCCGACTGAGCATGACGGCCAACAAAGCTGCGGCCCGGCATTGTGGGGCCGCTCCGGATTCCGGGCATGATGCACCGGAGCGTGTTTACACCCGATCGGTCTTTGTGCATGACGATAAGAGAGTCCATCAAAAGATGGAGTTTTCATGTGGAGGCGGCTTCCTTTAATGGGAAACCGCCGTCATCCTCGTGCAGTGAAGGCCAAGTTGCTGGAAACTTGGTGAATCCTATCCGCAGCGCCGCAAGGATCAAGATTGACCATGTCCTTGAGCTTCCAGATCAGACGCTTTAACAGGCGGTATTTTACATACCTAAGCAAAGCAAGACCAGTCAGAGTGATTGCTTGGCTGGAGAAACTGACCCGTTCGGTGACGACAGTTCTCAAGCCCTGCGTTTTATGTCGTCATCGATCGATCACAATCATGAGCCCGGATTGAAAGGTCCGCAACATAAATATCGAGCGGGTATTAAACCTGAGAAGAGCCCCTCGAGAAAACTCTGATGGTTATTTTCTTTTCTTACAACAAAGTCGGTAGCCGATTGACGCCTACGATAGAAGTCTATACAAAATGACGACTCAGAACTTTCACAACGGTATGCGTTCCCATCGATGATGGTCTCCCAGCTAGCTTGATATTATACTGAATATTTGCTAGAGAAGGATATTCCTGTCTCCCACCAGGACTTTCCAGGCAAGGATCATGATATGCCCGACCCTCAGCCTGTCCGGGACACACTACCTGAAGCCGGTGGCAATGTGAGGACCTACAAAGGCTCTGGAAAGCTCCAGGGAAAGAAAGCCATAATCACCGGAGGAGACAGTGGCATTGGTGCTGCTTCGGCTGTCTTGTTTGGTCGGGAGGGAGTCTCTGACATTGTCATCGCACATCTGCCCGAGGAGGACAAGGACGCGCAGGACACCAAGCAGCAAGTGGAAAAGGAGGGCGCCAAGGTCCATCTCATCTCCCTCGACTTGTCCAAGCGGGAGAACTGTCAGAAGCTGGTCGATTTTGCCGTGGAAAAGATGAAGGGGATCGACATTCTCTTCAACAATGCAGCCTGTAAGTGAATATTGACGAGCAAGACAGCCACAGCACTGACCAAAACGCAGACCAGATGATGGTTGAGGATATCAAGGATCTTTCCGAGGACCAGTGGATTCATACCTTCAACATCAACATCCACTCCTTCTTCTACATCTCCAAGTATTCCTTGCCTCACATGAAGGCCGGAGCAACCATCATCAACAACGCATCCATCAATGCCTACACCGGCCGACCTGACCTGCTCGACTACACCTCAACGAAAGGTGCCATAATCTCATTCACACGAGGTCTGAGCAATCAGTATGTTGGGAGGGGTATTCGTGTCAACGCTATTGCCCCAGGACCAGGTGCGTATGCTGTTTCTTTTAGACTTGGTAGGGGTCACTAACATGATGTTTAGTCTGGACGCCTCTAATCCCGGCCACGATGAACGAAAAGGCCCAAGAGGAGTTTACAAGCCCAATGGGACGACCTGCTCAGCCTTCAGAGATTGCTACATGTGTGGTCTTCTTGGCGTCAAGTGATAGTTCCTGTGTGAGCGGACAGACGCTCCATTGTAACGGTGGGAAAGTGGTCGGTGGCTGAGAATATGGCCGCTCTCTGATATATGAGCAACATGCTGGCTTTTATCTATCCATGAAAGTCACAAGTAGTATTCTGGCCTTGAGATAAGGCAGAAAGAAAAGCAATTAATGCGATCATTAATATCAAGGAATTGTACTGCAAATTGAGACCACGCTGCTGATATCTGATGGTGTATAGTTCGGGCCACTTGTAAACCAACAATGTAAGAGTGATACTGTACTCGAGTTTATGATTCGAGAGGCACTGTAATCTCTAACCTCTCACCAACAGACTCCGGCACCTCAAACGGCCTCTCCTCAAAGATAAGACCCAACTCCAAAAGCTCCTCCTCGGTAATGTCTGGCCGCTCATCGATGACCCTCTTCAGCTCACGGGCCTTGTCCGTGACATCCTCAATCTCGAAAATCCACTCGTCTGCCCATTGTGTACTCAGAGCTCCAGGAATGCCAATCTGAATGCTCCGGTACGGCAACACCCCAAGCTTTGGCGTCCGTTCAGGGTCCCACTGAATCCTCACATCGCTGGTCTTCTCACGCTTGACGGTCGAGTCTTCAGGAGCCTTCTTGGCATGTTTTGACAGTACACCACGTTCAAGAAGTCCGATGAAATGCTCGTGTTTCATGCGGATGGCAAGAATGTGGGATTGGCGGGAATCTTTGTACGAGTAGCCGGCACGGTACATCATCCAAGCCCAGCTCGGTTTGACCCATGTCATGCGGCCGGGCTTGAAGTCGGGAGATGCGTTGAGTTTTTGAGCAGCTACGGCATCTCTAGCGATGGATTCTTTATAGGCTTGATAGACCGTTATGGTTTTGCCGTCATAGTGGGCGCGTATTTGGTGGTAAGGTATAGATGTGTCTGGTGAGGTGGAAGTCATAATGTGTTTAATTGAGATGAAATGTGAGATTTGTGAGTTATGGGCAGGTGAACTGTAGACTGATGGACAGGGCAATATTAATTCGGGGCAAACACGAGGAATATGTTTAAATATGCCCATATTTCGAGTAGTGTATAACAAATTCAGCCCTATCAGCCTTGCCGGCATGAGTCTTTCGGTGATGGGAGACTAGAGGCGCCACATGACAGCGGGGCATTGTGATGGTGTTTCAGCTGCCCTAAATACCCAGGTGGAATGAATCAGGTTCACTAAGTTCTTGACACTGGAAAGGGGAATCAAGGAATGAGTACAGTATAAGTAGATTCTAAGAGTCACATCGAGTTTAGGAATTATTTGCATCTGCCTCTACGGATGGACAGTGCTCGAAGGCGACGTCAAAGGCCGAAACCGCGAAGCTCTAGTGCCAGTCCAGGGCCCAGTCTGGCTGGGATGGCAAGGAGCTCCAACCAGGTCACTCCGAGGGGTTCAGGCCAATTGCATTTATTCGTATGAGAAATACTTTATTCATCACCAAACCTTGCCTCAGGAGCAAGTACTCATAATTTAGTGCTCTAACAGGTGAGATCATTCTTACGCATACTTAAGTTATCCCAATAACACTGGGGCGAGGTACCGATCGGAGCTCCTTGCCAGCTCACGTACACGTCCAGAACCTGCTTCTGCACTGCAATTTTAGCACCTACTAAGACATCTCCGTTATTGCAATGGAAGTATCAACTTCTTTTATACCGACCTTTTGTACTCGCTACTCCGTACACTCACGTAACTTGATACTCCCTTTATACTGACTGGGGTTCTTGGACATACCACTCACTTTTACTGAAGAAAGAGGATAGTACATGCAAGTGGTTAAATCATCATCACGTTGAAGTGAGCGTCACAGCGCAGCGTCAAGTCTATATCATGCCATATATACAACATCGTAACCTTCCTTACAGATTACAATTTTTTTTGCCATCCCTTCCTCTGACGGCCTGATCATCAAAGGCCTCCTTTTTCATCATTCCCTGCCAATCCAAGCAACAAAAACATAAAGAAAAGTCCCGCATCGGGTATCGTTTAGTGGTGGAAGAGACGGATGTTCTGCTCCACAAAGGTGATGCCGAGCTTCTCGGCCGTCTCGAAGACGGCGCCGTCGTTCTGGCTGCCACCGGGGGCGGCAATGTAGTTGACGCCTGAGCGAGCAACGCGGAAGACGTTGTCGATGAAGGGGAACTGTAATACATGTTAGAAAATCCAACGAAATCATTCTGTGGGATGCTACTTACGAAAGCGTCACTAGAGACGCAGACCTTGGAGAGCTGCTTCATCCAAGCATCACGCTCCTCGGCAGTGAAGGCGGCAGGAACCTCCTCAAAGACAGCCTCAAAGGCCTCACGCTCAGGGCCGTCCTTGGGGAGCTGGCCGCTGACAAGCAGGTCAATGGCGTTGCTCTTGTCGGGGCGCTTAGTGCCCTTCTTCCACTTGATTCCGAGGACACGGGAGTGGAAGCGCATCCACCAGTTGTCGGCCTTGTCGCCGGCAAGACGGGTGCAGTGGATACGGGACTGCTGGCCGGCACCGAGACCAACGACCTGGCCGTTGACGGCGTAGCACACAGAGTTGCTCTGGGTGTACTTGAGGGTGATGGTGGCGATGGTAAGGTCGCGAGCAGCATCAGCGGGGAGGGAGCTGGTGTCCTTGGGGGTGATGATAGTGCTGAAGTGCTTGGGAGAGATCTGGACATCGTTGCGGGCCTGCTGGAGGTTGATGCCGTAGACACTGCGGGTCTCGATGGAACCGGGGTGGTAGTCGGCATCAATCTCGAGGACCAGGTAACGGCCGCCCTTCTTCTTCTTGAGGATCTCAAGGGCTTCGGCCTCGTAGCCGGGGGCAATGACACCGTCAGAGACCTCCTTGGAGATGATCTTGGCGGTGGGGACGTCAACCACGTCACTGAGAGCAATCATGTCACCGAAGCTGCTCATACGGTCGGCACCTCGGGCACGAGCATAGGCCTGAGCGAGGGGAGACTGGTCAATGCCCTCAATATCGTGGACAAAGTAGACCTTCTTCTCATCCTCGGTGAGGGGAAGGCCAATGGCGGCACCAGCAGGAGAGACGTGCTTGAAGCTGGCGGCAGCGGGCTTGCCAAGGGCCTGCTTGAGCTCCTTGACCAGGGGCCAGGCGTTGAGGGCGTCGAGGAGGTTGATATAGCCGGGAGCACCACCGAGGACCTTGAAGGGCAGGTTGCCCTCAGTGACATAGGCGGCGGCGGGCTTCTGGTGGGGGTTGGCACCGTATC